ATTGGTAATATAGAAGTAGAAACGGAAGCACTTCTTAAAGACAATAATGTTTCGTCTGAAGAATTTAATGAAAATGTGATAAAATGCCTTCCATCAATTCCCTGGACTATTCCCGATAAGGAATTTGAAATACGTAGAGATTTAAGAACAACAGCTAGGATTTTCTCGATTGATCCTCCTACTGCAAAGGATCTTGATGATGCTGTTTCGTGTTCTCGCCTGCCAGACGGAAATTACGAAATAGGTGTTCATATTGCAGATGTAAGTTATTTTGTTAAACAAAATAGTGCGCTTGATAGAGAAGCTCGTAAGAGAGCGACAACCGTTTATTTGGTCCAAAAATCTGTCCCCATGCTCCCGCCATTAATTTCTGAAGAATTATGCAGCTTAAATCCTGGTAAAGATAGGTAATGTTCAAAGAAATCAAAATCAACAATTAAAGTCGTTTAAAAATAGGAATGTAACATCATATACGATTTTATAGACTTGCCTTCTCTGTAATTTGGAAAATGACACCAGAAGGCAAACATACAGAGACGTGGTATGGTCGCACTATAATTCGACCATGCGCTAAATTAGCGTATGAAAATGCGCAGGAGGTGATCGATGGAAAGCCTTTAAACCCTGAAGTTAAAATTTTTAACGATTACAATGCTAAAGAAATTGAGGCTGATATCAAAGTTTTCCACGTAAGTTAAATTAATTATTGAATTAATAAACAACGATGTGTTACATTTCTTTTAACACTATTCTCAGGGCCTTTCACAACGTTTGCGAGATCAACGACTTAAACGTGGTGCGTTGTCTTTGGGCTCTATCAAACTAAATTTTGAGCTGGATGAACACAGTAATCCTATTGAATGTAACGTATACGACCATAAAGAAGCTAATCAGCTCGTTGAAGAATTCATGTTACTTGCAAACATGAGTGTTGCACAAAAAATATCTAGTGCTTTTCCCGAGCAGGCTTTACTTAGAAGGCATGCTTCTCCTATTGAGCGTAGGCTTGTATGTGTTCTCTATTATCATTTGAGTCGTTCATGTAAATAACATACTTTTTGCAATATTATTTCTAATAAATAATTTCTATATATTAGAATGATTTTGTTGAGCATGTTAAAAGATTAGGATATGATTTTGAGACTTCATCTGCTGGAGCTTTACAAAGATCCTTCAATTCTGTTGATGACGATGGTGTTAAACAGGTATGAATACTTAGAAGAAAATTGTCATTTTGGGAATGAGTAAATAATTATTAATTTAAAACAAAAAAAAAAAATTTTATACGTTTTTAAGGTTTTGAAACTTCTTGCAATAAAACCAATGCAAAGAGCTAAATATTTCTGTACTGGAACTTTAGACATTGCAAAATATCATCATTATGCTTTGAATGTCCCACTTTATACACATTTTAC